AAAAAAAAAAAATGATGCACGAAAAAAAATCCAATGATGTCAAAATTATCATTTTTCCTTTCGAATGGTTCAATGTTTTTTTTTTTTTTTGGTGGAAAAAACCATTTTTATTTGTCGCCAATCTAACGATGGAATAATTTTTCCTTTTCCCAACTGCACGACAATAAAGAAGAAAAATGACGATGATCATCGACGAAAAATCAATCAATTAATTTCTGTTCAATATATTCAAACTAACAGTAAAAAACACGTCATATTGTTCTGGTCGATTGAAAATACAGGAAGAAAACGAAAAGAAATACAACAACAACAAATCCCCAAACAAACATCATTAACAATAACAGCTTTTTTTGGGGGGAGGGAGGAGGGAAAAGAAAATTTGTATCCATTTCATCAATTGAATAGTGTGACTGGTCTGAAATCCACGAAAATGATGTTAATCGTGGTGGTGGTGGTGGTGGTTGTTTAATGAAATTTCATTCACGTAAACGTGCGTAATAATGCTTGTATTTTGTTTGTTTGGCGCCCAGTCAACCATTTATGATCTCATATTAATATATTTGTAGTTCGTGTTTTCTGACAAAAAAAAAATATAACTAAAAATGTACAATTTTTTTCTTTTTTCATGCACAAAAAAAAATCGGAAACAAATAGAAATTTAAATGAAACATTGAATAAATAAACGTGTGTGTGTGTGTATTCAGGTGTATGACTCTCGCCTACCTGTTGTTTGAAATTTCATTTTGATGTTTGAAAATCCACAAAAAAAAATTTCGAATGTTTTTTTTCAAGTTGTTGACGTAAAAATTGTTTGTTTGAAAAAAAATTTCTGCTCTCATTTCTCTTTTTTTCATTTCATTTTTCTTGAGTATCAAAAATAAAAAATATACATTTGCGAATTGATCCATCAAATCGAATGTGATGTGATGTTATTTTCTTCAATCGTTTTCGTTATTGTTGCTTATTTTTGAAAAAAAAGATATTTTGAACTGATAATGAATGAATGAATGATCAAGGACAAACTTATTTCTTCAAAAGATAACATATCTTCGGCATCTTAAACAGTATTTTTTTTTATTTCGTTATTTTTTTAAATGGTTAAAAATTGCCACGACGAAATTTTTTTTTTGAGAAATTGTGAACCGAAAACAAAATTACTTTGCTAAACCAGAAAAAAAAGATTGAGAAACAAAAAACTGTCATTGAACATTTTTTTTTGTTCAACAACAAAATAATTCAACAATTTATCTTCAATTGTGAACTCAAAGATTCTTGGAAAATTGATAAATTCGAACGTTTACCCAAGTCTATATCGACCTAAATATGATAAACAGACATTCTTTTTGTCACTATAGATCATCCGGAATAGCAAGGAATTAATGAATGATTAAAATCTGTTTTCATTCATCAAAAAAAAATTTCTACCAAGAATTAAAGCAAGAACAACAGAAAAAAAAACTCAACCTTTTTTTCACACAATTACTACATTCAATTAATTGATGCCATATCACACCATGTTTTTTTGTTTTGTTTTTTTATAATGCCACATAATGAAACATTATGATTTTCACCTTGTAAGGTGTGTGTGTGTTTGAAACCTATCAAAGCAGCTTTTCTTTTGATAAATTGTGCATTTATCATTCAAGATTAGTGTCGAAAAAAAAATAACACCGAAGACGAACAAGAAGAAGATAACAACTACTAACGAATATTGTTGATTTTCATGATGATGATGATGATGATGTTAGTTATAAGTGTGTGTTTGTGTGTGTGTATCCACATTAACCATTTTCAAATTTCTCACTACCTTTGCCGATGATGAATTCTTCTTTTTTTTTTTAATTTCATCTGAAAATTAATAAAGAGAAAGTCGTACATGCATGTATGTGTGGTGTGCTATGTATGGTTAATGATATTTGAGTTTTCTTCGATCCGATATAATCGTCTTTCTTCGTCGTTGTTGTTGTGACCGTGTTTATGGCTGTTGTTGTTGTGTACCTGTTTTGAGCGGGGTGATGATATTCAACGAAAGAAAAATCTTTACAGTTTTTTGGGCAAAAAAAAAAGAAAACCATTAAAGTGAATCCAACCACCACCACCACTACAAATCATCGATTTTGGTTGTTGTTGTTGTTACCAGTAAACCATCAATGTAATTTTTTTTATTATTTAGCACCTTATTCACTGAATTCATTCAATCTGATTTTTCTGATTCAACAAGTGTGTTATCATCTTGTATTTGTGATTTTATAAAAAAATTAACGATTTTGGTTTCAAATTTCGTATATTTTTCAGTGTAAATGTGAGATTTTTATTTTTGATGATTTGATTTCTGGATCATATCTTAATTGTGTTGTTTTTCGTGATAGATTGAATCTCATCAATTTTTATAATTGAATAAATCAACAAAAAAAAAATGCAAGAAATAGCACGTAAACGTTTTCAAACAAAAGCCTGTATTGCTGGCGCACGAACATTTTTAATGTTATTCAATGTAATTTTTTGGGTAAGTTTTTTTGGTGAATATTTTTCGGATAAAAAAAACAGATAGATTGATAATGATGAAAAATTTATTATTTCAACAACAAAAAAAAAATCAAGATTGCTGGATTTATTCTATTAATGTTTGGTCTTTGGATGCGTGTTTCTATCGGAAAAGTATTCGAAATATCACCACAATTTAATTTTGCTTTACCAACAATGTTAATCATTTGTGGTTCGATAATGATGATTGTATCAGTTTTGGCTTGTTTTTCTTCATCAACCGATAGTCCAACATTATTATATATAGTAAGTTTTTTGTGGTTATAATTTTGGAATTAATATAATTTATATTTTATTTATTCAATCAATCAATCAGTTGAGTGTCATATTTTTCCTAATATTTGGATCAATATTTGCACTATCAATTACTGGCTATGCATATCGTGATACATTAAAAGAACAGCTATTAAAATCATTAAATCATACATTGAATGAATATGGTACTGGTAATATTATGGATAAAGATCTTGATCGAATTCAAACACATGTATGTCGAAACATAAGATTAGATATAGAACTTGACTTAATAATTTTTTTTTATTTGTTTAAAAATAGTTCGATTGTTGTGGTGTTAATACATATGAAGATTGGTTAAATAGTGATTGGCATCAACAGAATAAAAATCTATCATTTCCCGATAGTTGTTGTAAAACATTAAAACATTGCGATAATAAACAAGTGGAACAGATCTATGCTGTTGGATGTTATCCAGTAATTGTAAATGCATTCAATGAAAATCTAAGTACATTAGGTTTGGGAACATTTTTTATTGCATTATTTCAGGTACGTGATTTGAAATTTTATTTTCTATTAAATTAAATGAACAACAAAAAAAAAATTTATCATAATTTATTAAACAATATCGATCAATTTTGATCTTTGATCTTATTTGTCCTAATCAATCAATCAATTTATCGATCGATCAATCGATTAATTAATTCAATTTAATCAATTCGAATCGAATTAATATACTTTATTGTACACGTTTAGTATACACAAACAACCTTCAACAATATCACGCGTGTCATTTAATTTAATTCAAACGAAAATTGTTTTTTTTTTCTTTCAATCATCATGATCATTAAAATTAACTTTTTATCTTTTCTATTTGCTTCTAGCTTTGTGGCGTAACATTGGCCGTTTGTCTGGCAAATCATATTAACAAAGCAAAATATGAAGAAATGTATTGATAATAAAAATGGCAAGAATTTTTAATTGAATGAATTTTCTACAAACATAAATATTCAAAAAAAAAAAATTCCATAACTTCATATTCAAAAAAACACTGTGTATCGCGATTGATCTTATTGTTTTTTTTAACATTTAGCACAAATCTATTCTATATACTTCAAACGAAACTTAATTTCGAGCTTCAAATTTAAATATCGATCTTTGAATATATTAGACAACAAACAAAAAACAAGATGGAAACAAAAATCTCTTTTGGTTGCACTTTCACTCACAAACAAACTAACAAACAAACAGACAATTAAAGAAAAAAAAATTATCTCCTACAAACACAATTAAAAATGTTGTCCGAAAAAAAATGTTGTGCACAAATGTTTCGTTGTTATTGATATTATTATTATTTTTATTATAATAATTTTTAGTTTATAAAATAATTATCAATTTTTATTCCTAATTTTGATGATAATTTGTTTGTAACAAACAAAAAAAAACAACAACAACAAAAATTATCTACAAGAAAAAAAAACAGAAATTTTTTTTTGAATAGAATTAATTATCCATTCGAAGATTATTCGAATGATAATCAATGTACATATATCTCTTTTTTTTTGAAGGACAAATATGATTTGTTTCTTTTTTCCTCCTCGTCCTTATCCATATTATATATTATTGATTCATTTGATAATAAATCAGTGTTTTTTTTTGACAATTATCTTTTTGGTGACAATGATCGATTGTATTCAAGATTGATTGACCATTTTTGACGTCGTTGTTGTTGTTGTGGTTGCTGTCGATGATAATGATGATGATTGTTGTTCCAATTCAGCTCGTTTTGCATCCAACATTTGTTCGATTCTCTGTATAATTTAATTTTAGAAAAAAATAAAGAAAACAAAAAATTCAATTAGTAATGAACGGAAATTTTGTTGAAAAATTTACATCTGATTCTAAAGGTCGATAAACAGAATGAACTAATTGTGAGCCACAAGCAGCGGCTAATAAAGCGGCCATAACACGTGATAAATATGATGACCATGATAAACCGAATGGCATTTTTTCAAAAAAATTCTCGGATTGAAATTCAATTTTTATTTGTTGCAGAAAAATAACCACATCAAATCGATCCACATGTGAATTAAGGTATAAAAGTTTTACCAGAAACTTACCGAAACAAATGAACATTCGATAGAATGTTCTTGATAGTAAAGTTTACCAAATTTTTTTCAGAAATACAAATATTTCATGCATTTTTTTTTTGTTTTTTAAAATAAAACTTACTTTGCGTTCTTGTGCTAAACGTTCACGTTCTTTTCGCATATAAACAGAATAAAAATCAATACCATTTATACGCATATGAATCATTGTAAATTCTGTCCATGCACCAATAGCAAAAAATATCGGTAAATAAGCATAGAATCCAAGCTGTTTACGTAATGGCCAATTATCTAATATAACATTGATTACTCTCCGATATTGTTGCATATATTGTCGATAAAAATAACGATACATTATTTTATTAAATTCAAATATCACAGTAAAATTCAAATTTGAATAAAATTATCAATTTAAACAACGATGAGAATCGCAAAAAAATCAGGATCAAATGAAGAAGATCGTTCTTTATGGACAGGATCACAGAACATCTGGCATGCATGCTCGGCAAAAAAAAAACTATTCTTTCATTAATTCGAAATACAAATTGAAATTTATTGTCATTTTCTACGAATCATTTGATTTTTTTACATTTTGAATTTAATCGATATTCATAACCAATAATCATCATTAACAACATCATGGGTGACGAAGGAAATCAGGTAAATTATTTGTGATATAAATCAAGATGATATTGATACCATGGTTTCATGATGTCATCGATGAATACATCATTTATATCATTGACAAAGAAAAAACTCATGCCTTTGTTTATTTCTATCTTAAAAAAATTTTAGACAGCACCGGTTACCGTTGAAGAACCACTCGATCTAATTCGTTTAAGTCTTGATGAACGAATCTATGTTAAATTACGTAATGAACGTGAACTTCGTGGTCGTCTTCATGCTTATGATCAACATTTGAATATGGTATTAAGTGATGTTGAAGAAGTGAATAAAACAATCGAAGTAAATGAAGAAACATTTGAAGAATTCATCAATACAAATAAACGTAACATTCCAATGTTGTTTGTACGTGGTGATAGTGTCATTCTTATTTCGCCACCAGTTCGAAATGCAAATTAATTCGATTTTTTTCTTTCATGTGTTTTTTTGTGTGTTGATTTCATAAACATTTTTGTCCGATCATTTCACTAATCATTTCAATAAACTTTTGATCATTTTTTCTCAATAATTGAATAATTTGTTGTTGTTATTGTTGATGATAATGTTGGAAAACAAAGAATCAATAGATCCGATTTATTCGGAATTTTTAGCCGATGATTTTAATCAACAAAATGCTATTGCTTCGATTAATAATCTATCATTTTCGGAACAAATTTCGAAAATTTCTACAGGTATTGAACAAATGAAAAATAATATCAATCAATTGACATCGAAAAATTGCGAAACATTTTTCAAACGAGCTACACAACTTGATGAATTATATAATGATTTACGTTTTATCTGTGTAAAATCACAGAATTTAATGAAAACATTAGAATTAATTCGTAATAGATTCGAAGCTCCACATCAACAGCTTAATCATGAAATTATTCTATTATCACGATTACAGAAAACTTGTGATCTATTAAGAAAAATGTTACGTATTATGCATCTAATGGAACGAATTGAAGAATCCGATTTGGATAATACAAAAAATGAACAGCCAATTTTTTTAAAAGAAATTGTCAAATTATCACAATATATTAATGAAATTGATGGTATTATTCAATCGGATCAGGAAAATTTATTATTCAAATTGAATTGTATTAGTAAAGATTTGCAAAAATTCCAATTAATTAAAACAAAATTAATAACCGAAGTAGATTTATTACTTAAAAATGGTCTCGAAACATTGGATCATAATAATATTAGCACTGCAATGCAAGTTTATCATAATTTACGTTCACTTGATCGAATAGTTAATGATTTGATTGATAATAAATGTCGATTAATTGAACAATCATTAACAAAATTATTTGATGATATGAGCTTAAAAGAAGTAAAATTAACTATACCATCACCAAGACAGAATAATATAATGAAAACAAATATACGTAATAATTGTAAATTTAATCTTGAAAATCTTTATAATCATTTTCATCAATTATCAATTATGATAAAGATTTTGAAAAAACGTCGTGATAATCAAACACAAACATTATTGATTGAATTTGTTGACAATAGAAATGAATTGTTGATAATAAAATTTTGGAATGAAATTATTCGAATGTTTTCATCAACATTCGATAAATTATTTCAAAGTTCACCGGCAATAAAAAAATTAATCGAATCTGATTATTCAAATATATTATCATTATTTTTGGATTATTCAAAACGAATCATTATCGATGAACCGGAAATTGAAAATGAAAAATCATTACGTTCAACTATTGGACAATTTGAAAATGCTTATCTTTCCAATTCATTATCATTACTTTTTGAATCGGTTAATCGAATATTCACCAATGTTGGTGTGATTAAAAATCAAAAAATCGATACAATACCATCGGAAAAAGATGTCGATATGGTTATCAAAGATATATCGAATGAAATATCATCATCAAATTTTGATCCAATATTGTTGGAATCAGTTTGTCGAAATATTGTTAAAACAATCAATCTTTTTGTATTTAAATGTGAACAATTAGTATCGAATGATGGTGATGCAACACAGGTGATTGGTAAATTTACCATAAATCAACGACATAATTCATTAATCATCTATACATTGAATTATTTTCATAAACAATTAAAAAATTTGATAGCCAATAATGATAATAATCATTCGATTCTACAGAAACATGTAGAAATATCATCATTAAATGCAATTGATAATTTAATATTGAATACATTCGAACCATTTATTAATTCAATTCAGGATGCTATTGAAGATATTATTCTTACCATTCATAATGAAAAATATGATATCAACAGGTTGGTGTTTTGGAAAAATTAAATATTCATGTTAATTTTAAAAACAAAATTTTTCAGTGAAATTTTACCAGGTCAATGTTCACTTTACATGAAAGAACTACAACGATTCATTGCTCGTGTATCACGAGATTATTTTCAACAATATCCGGATGATTCAGAAATTATCAAAGAAAGGTAAATATTTTTTTCGACATCTACAATTCAAATAATAATATTTTATTCATGTAGAATCCATCGAATGGCCGCATTTGTTATTGATTTCTTTTTACTGCAAAATTGTCTAATCCGTCCGGTATCGGAAATTGGTCGACGTAAAATTGCCAATGATTTTACACAATTGGAAGAAGCAATCATACCAATCTGTAATCGTTTAGGTGATGTTGGTCGATCATTTCAAATATTGAAAGCTTTCAAAACATTGTTACCATTATCACCGGAAGAAATATGCGAATCATCAATTGTTGGTGATCCGATTCCATATTATTTGGTCATACATTTTTTTATTGCCAATTATACATCGGATGAATTGAAATCACCACATAAATTTAAAGATTGGTCAATTAGTCGATATAGCCAATGGTTTATGACCAATCGAAGTGATGAAGAACGATTATCAATAATAAGGTAATCAAAATTTAATATTTAAAAATTCAAAAGAAAAAAATTATTTTATTTCGTCTTTTTTTTTAAATAGGAATTCTTTGAATGAATACATTATTCAGGCAAAAAAATTACAAAAGAAACAATATTTTTCAACATATCATTTATTGTCAAATCTTATGAAAAAGGCTATTGTTGAATAAAAGAATAAAAAAAATTGTCATTTTATCATCAATAAATCATTTAAAACAATAATTGAAAAATATAATGAGAATAATTAAATCATTGTTCGCTCTTTAAATAATTCCAATGTATAACTAGCAAAAAATGCAGGAAAACTTTTATGTTCATTGATATATAAATCAATTTTATCGTTGAAACGTTTGGTCACTTCATTTTCTATTAATCGAATATTTTTACCATCAAATTCAACATAGAATTCATTTTTGAATGCCAATTTACTTCGTAAACGATATTTATTACGAAGAAAATCAATCTGAAAGCCAGTTACTTCCATACAACATCTACGAAAATCATCTAAATGTTTTCTAAATTTGTCTTTAAATATAATTGATTGTTGTTCATAACGGGATATAAGTTCTTCCATTTTTTTCATTTTAAAACGATATTGTAATCCTTCATCAATCTGTCGAGTAATATCGGCATTATTTGTTTCGCCTCGTTCTAATATTTCTACCAAACATTTTAAACGTTCATTTTCTTCTTTTAATTTTTCAAATTCTTCGTTACGTTTTTTGATTTCCCATGAAACTGGATTATCTTTCAAATGTATTATACGGAATTGTTTCTCGTTTGTTTGCAAAGTTGAACAATCTAACATTGATACATTTGTACAAATATGTGGATTCAATTCTTTGATTCTTTGGATTTCATTTTTCAATTCTTCATTTTCTTTATCCAACAATCGTTTTGTTTCCAATTCTTTACGTGCTTCATTCAATTCTGTTTCGAATTTATTGGCTGTAGTTTTATATTGTTCAATAATCGATTCTAATTCAGTAATTTTTTGGCTATTATTAACATCAGAATTTTTGTTAACAGAATCCTGTGAAGCCATTTTCTTATAATAATCTACTTCTTTCGAAAGGAACAAACATTTTTTGTTGGTACGTTCTAAAAGTTCGTTAAGTTTGGTAATTTTAGTTTCAGCATTCTTCAAATTCAATTCATTAGATTTTAGAAGAAAATTTTCATTTGATATTTTTTCCTCAAATGTTTTAATTTTAGATTTGAGCAGATCATTTTCAACATTCAATAATGATATTTGTTCATTGAACATTTTGATTTTTTCGGCAACAATTTCGGGCGAATCAATTCCAACAATCTGTGTCCATTTTAATAATTTTTCTTTACTCGATTCCAAAGCATGTATATCGATATTTTTTTTATTTAATTGTTGTTGAAGTATATCAATCTTTGTTTCATATCCTAATAATTTTTCATTCAACATTACATTCTTTTCATGCACACTTGACAAAAGATCATTTTTATTTTTAAGATTAACATTTTCATCTTTCATAGTGCGTAATTGACTTAATACATCTTGCAAAATTGGTTCCAATTTTTTACTCTCTTCAAATGATTTCAATTCAGTTTTCAATTGTTCGATAGTTGAATTAGCTTGGTTCAATTTCAATTTTAAATTTTCAATTTCTTTGTTTTTTAGATCAAAATCCAATAAATTTGAACGATGTAGTTCATTTTCCTGTCTGAGTTGATCGTTTTCGGATTGAAGAAGACTGATTCGATGTTCAAAATTGAATGTATCCATCGATAGTTGAGATCGTTGTTTTTCGCCATCAGATTTAGCTTGAAACAATTCTTCTTTTAATTTGGAAATTTCTTTTTCATGTTCGACATTCTGTTTATCCATTAATTTAGATTGTTCAAGATGAAGTTTTTGAAATTCATCAAATTCATATTTTAATTTTTCTTCATTCTTTTTTAATGTTTGAATTTCGTTCTGTAATTCTTTTGTTTGTTTTTTGTATTCTTCAATTTCATTTTGATATCTAGTTGCATTGACTTCATTATCGATTCTTAATTCTGAATTTGTACGTTGTAATTCGTTGACTTCTTTCTGCAAAACATTGATACGAACTTTGTATGAGATTACTTCAGTATCTTTGGTGATTGTTTTCCAATCAACAATTGGACTTGTAGCTTTTGATTCTACTGTTCGTGGAATTAAGGTCGATTCTTCAAACAGTGAACTATTACTTGAAATTTTCGAATTGTTTACATCTGATTTTTGAACATTTGATAATTTTGAACTAATAGACATAGCCGATACACTGCGACTCATTGGCATTGGAGAACGAAAATCTAATTTAAGATCAGGAGGATTCGAATCATCCATCATATTATGACGATTAATTTTTGCTTTCATCAATGATAATGGTGTTGAACGTTTAAATTTAGACACAGATGTTGGAATATGTGAAACAGATGGATCGTTTGGTCTTGGCCGTTTAATACCGCTAAACATGATATTTGAATTCGATGGTTTTTTTGCCGTCGTTGGAATCATTGATGGTCTTGGTATTGACGATATATTTGGTATCCGGGAACCGGATGGTTTTTTCGAACTAAACGTAGGAATACTCGAATCCATCACCGTTGTTTTTGAAATGATTATTGTATGAAAAAAATACGAATAAATTTTATGTTTCACTTTCAATATTGACCGCTTGATTTAGATGTACGAGCACGAGTGACAAAGTGCGCAAATCAATGCGCGCTCTTTTTTTGGGTGAACATTGTTTATGACGATATCATGGATTCTTGCATTATAATCAAATATATTCAATGTTGACCACTTGTTGATTGAATCATGATGATTGTTAATCGTTAATTCGTATTTAACAATGGTTAACGATGAATTTTTTTTCTTCTCTCGAATGAATTAGTTAATTTTGTTATCATCATCTTATTGATGATCAAATTTTTGTTTTTGATAACAAAAATCATTCGATATTAAATTGTATTGAATTTTGGAATTTGTCTTAAACATTGATAAAAATTGAACTTTGTAAATTAAGGCGAGGGTAAAAGAAAATCAAAACAGGCGGAGCTTGCACTTGAACTTAAGCTTTTTCTTATTAGATATCTTTTTGACAACTTTTGATAATATTTCCGACAGAAGCACACGATGATTATCCGATGATTATGATTTTGGTATTTTCTCGGATCATTTACATTCAGACATCGATTCATTTTTCTTTTGCAGAAATTTGCAAATTCACATGATGAATTTTGACATGATCGAATGATTGGAAAAAAAAGTACAACATTTGCTCATTCAAATGAAGAAACTGGTCTGTTCAGAAAAATTTTCTGTTGAATAAATATTCAACGATATGTCATCGGTGATCATTAGTGAAATCATTTGCTCGTCGTCCTTCGTGATATTCATTTCAATTTAGATTTTCATCAAATTATATTCATCGAATATTTTATTATGGCTAGTGTTTTATTAAGAAATAATTTACTTCGAAATTTATTCATCAATTTTCGATGTAATGCTAAAAGATTTCAATCAACATCGATCAATACGATTATTGATCCATCGTTTGAATTAACAACTGATCAAATTCAATTACAAGAAATGGCACTCAATTTTGCTTTGAATGAATTTCGACCATATATGAAAGAATGGGATGAAAATGAACATTTTCCACGTGATCAGATGAGAAAAGGTGCCGAACTTGGATTTGCTGGTCTTTATCTACCTGTTGAAGATGGTGGTTCCGGTCTTAGTCGATTAGAAACATCGATTGTTGTCGAAGCTTTAGCACAAGGTTGTGTTTCAACAACGGCATTGTTGACCATACATAATATGGCTACCAATTTAATCTGTAGTTATGGTAATGAAGAATTGAAAAAAAGATTTCTACCCGATTTAACTAGTTTCAAAAAGATGGCATCATATTGTTTGACCGAACCAGGTGCTGGATCCGATGCGGGTAATCTAAGTACAAGTGCTGTACGTAAAGATGGATATTATATAGGTAAGATTGAACATTTTTTACCTTTGGATGGATGAATGATAAAATTTATTTTTTTCAGTAAACGGCAGTAAAGCATTTATAAGTGGTGGAGGTGATAGCGAAGTTTATGTAGTTATGTGTCGTACAGGTCCACCTGGACCAAAAGGAATTTCATGCTTAGTGATCGAAAAAGGTACCGAAGGTCTTAATTTTGGTAAAAAAGAGAAAAAACTTGGCTGGAATAGTCAACCTACACGAGCGGTTATCATGGAAGATTGTAAAGTACCAGTTGAGAATTTAGTCGGTGAAGAAGGACAAGGCTTTAAAATGGCAATGGATGGCCTAAATGGTGGCCGACTGAATATATCATCATGTTCATTGGGTGCAGCACAATGGGCATTAGAAGAAACAATCGCATATACATCGGATCGTAAACAATTTAATCGAACAATATCATCGTTTCAAAATACACAATTCAAATTAGCTTTATTAGCATCTGAATTATTTGCATCAAGATTAGTTATACGTTCGAATGCACGAAGATTTGATGCCGAAACTAATGATTCAGAATTGAATCTTAAATGTGTACCATTACCATCAGTAATTGCAGCAGGAAAATTAATAACAACCGAAAAAGCATTTACAATTATTGATCAATGTTTACAATTATTTGGTGGTTATGGTTATCTAAAAGATTTTCCATTACAACAATTATTACGTGATACACGTGTACATCGTATATTGGAAGGTACGAATGAAATAATGCAGCTTATCATATCACGCGATTTTGTTCAACAAAAATAATTAAAAAAAAATTGATAAAAATCAAAAATGATTAGAAAAATAAATTCCATTTCAATTCACTAGATGGTAATGCGGTGGTCAACAAAAAAAAAAATCTTCATTACGAATTTTATCTTAATCTAAATGAAATTAACGAAATGAAACAAACGAAAATAAATATAAATCAATAAAGTCAAATCGATTGATTCTTTGTAATCAATGTAATAATTGATTTAATATTTTATTTAATGAAATGAATTATAATTAAGAACATTTGTCTGGAAAAAATGTATATATAATCGATTGAAAAAAATACAAATATATATGAGAATAGATAGATAGATAGAATAATTTTTCGTTCCAATCATCAATTGATTATTAGAAAAAAAAAGAAGAAATGTATGGTGTTAAATCAGTGCAATATTGTGAAATTGATTAGATGTTTTTTGCTGAGTGGTGGTGATAGTGATTGTGTGTTTGTGTGTGGGAGAAAATAAATTAAATTTAAGATGATGATGATGTTTCTTCATAGTAGGTTTTTTTATATGAATGATTTTTTCAATTTCAGAAAAAAACAATTTCAATTATGAGAATTATACAATAATGAATTTGTTGTTGTTGTTGATGTTGTCGAAACTGTTTAAAAATCGATTTTGCTTGTTTTGTTATATATAAAATCGGTGATTTTTCAAAATTAATAGTTGTAAAAAAAACAAAAATAATAATACATTTACATTTCAATCGATTATATGATGATGATGATGATGAACGAAATTCTTGATTCATTTCTCAATATACATGAATTGTGCGAAAATAATTTGAATTTTTTTCTTTTTTTTTTAATTTTTTTAACGTTTTTTTTTTTGGTTTCATGATGAGGTAGTAAAGAGGTTTTTTTTTCATATAAAGGTGGGTGATGTTCGACGTCTGGACATGACAATGTTTTTTTTTGTTGAAAGAAATTAAAATTACATTTCATAAAATGTATCAAATTTCATTTTGTTGTTGTTTTTTGATTTATAAAGCCGAAAATATTTGAAATTCCATGTCATATTATCATCGTCAGTGGACAAATGTCATCTTTTCCATATTTATAAAAATGTTTTTTGGCATCAAGTATGATGATGATGATGATTATGTTTTCAAAAATTGATCACCCACACAAATGTTTGACCTTTTTTGCTAAACGACGAATCCTTTTAAAAGGCATCGTTTGACCATTATGATTATTTGATTGATGATATGAACTATCGAATAATAATGATGAAATGTTGAAACATCGATTTGATTTCGGTAAAGCCATTTCAGTGATATTATTATTATTATTATTGTAATTGTTATTATTATCATTATCCGTTTGATTGATATTTAATTTTATTCGTTTCAATTTTGATTCTGATTTTTTCTTCAAAGCTAAACGACTATACTGTGGATGATGAGTAAGTATACAACTCAATCGTGGATCACGATGAATTGCTTTATCAAATATTTCTTCACCCGATTTTTCCCAATCATTGCAAATACCATCTTCAGCATATATAAACTTGTTTTGACCGGTTTTTTCATGATATAATTGTTGATTATGATTATGATGATGATGTTTGGAATGATGCTTATGATGGTGATGATGATGATGATGGTTATCATCAATTTCAACTTTCGTAAAATGACGACATTTAAGATATCTTTTTTGCGTTTTATTTACAGCCACTGGTTGGCCAACTTTATTGAATGCTAATTTCCAATCAGGATTCATGGCTAATTCATACATTAGATGATCACCGTCAAAACTTTCATTAAAGCTACATAAACACCAATCAAAACAATCCTGTGAAAGAAAGAAATAGAAAAAAAATTGAATGAGAATTTGAAAGAAAAATTTTTAAATAACGATAAGTAAACTAAAATCAATAAAGATTATTATCATCACCCAAAAATAATTTAAAACGAGGGAAAATTTGTCACCAATAATAAGAATATTTTTACAAAATTGAGTTTTAAACAAACTGATAATAAAGTTCATAGCAGTTATTTACTACAAAAACTGAAGTGACTAAATGGCAATTCGTCATCAATACCAGGATATGATTCTTTGAATTCAGATCTGATAACCAAATTATGATCATTTGGTGAAAGAAATAAAGTAACCGAAACAAATGTAACAATATCGATCGATCGTTTGGAAAATTGTTTTCACATAAATTGTTTTTTCATCCGAAAGAAAAAACATTCCAATATAATTGAAATTGCCAACCAAAAAAATCAATCAATTTTTTAAGCATAAAGATAGCCAAATTGATTCAACAAAATTATAATTGAAAATTATATATTAGCTTTGCTATACATTTCACAAAAACAGCAACGACGACGACGACAACAAAAAATCACGTGTAAACTTAAAATACATAAATATAGAATTTAAAATTTTTGATTGGCGTATCAATTATTTATATTTGTGTGTGTGTGTGCATGTGATATGATAATCGTTTTGGGAAAATAATGTTTCGCGAAACCAAAATAAAAGATAGGAAAAATGTTTTTTGAAAAAAAATTCTTTGTCAAAATTAAGATATCTTACATCTACATCATTATCATTCAGTTATTATCAATTATTGCACCGCTATTAGTGAATCAAAAAGTGGAAAAACTATTGATAGATTCATTATATTATTATTATTATAATGACTTTATTTCAAGTGTTTGTTGGTTGGCTATTATATTCACAAATAATCACAAAACGCCAATCAAATGTAATTATCATTTTTGTTTGTCAAAAATGATGATAATCATTGAATCAATGAATAAAACCTAAACAAACAGACAATCAAAATTGTTTTAGGCTACCGTCTCAACCAAAACAAAACAACAAAAAAATTCCAAAATTTTCTTCACTTTTGTCGGAAAAAGTTCAAATGGTAATCAAAATGATGATACACATACATTGCTATAATTATGGATCAATCATGACAGCTTTATGGTCAGCTTGAACAAAAAAAAATGATTCGTTTCTTGATGACCAAGGCGTGTTTCACACACACACACACACACACATCAAACGAAAAATTTTTCAGCTTTTTTTTCATTTTGTTTTTAATCAGCAACAGAAGAAGAAAAAAAATTGTGAAACGATAAAATTTCACAATGTGTGTGTATGTGGAATCATAAAAAATAATAATAAATTTTTGTTTCAAATATGGCTAAAAATTCATTTCGGACTATCTAATGTTTGATGATGATGATCATCATGATATGATTTTTAATATGTGAGAAAAAATAATTGATTTCATGAGAGAAAAACAAAGATGATTTTCAATCAAAAAAAAAAAAGAAAAAAGAATATTCATAAAATTCATTCAACCATGTTTAGGTGTATAATATTGTTTAGATTCCAATAGAATAGACATATCAAAAACATAAAATAATAATAATTTTTTCCCATAAATATTGTGTAAAATAAAATTATCTGTTTTTTATGATCTAAATATTCTTTGGAATCATTATTTTGTTATGATATATTCCATTTGTGAGATACTAACTAATAAAACGAACAAATTGATAAGGGTTATCTTATTAATGTGTGAAAATTTCTTCTTTTTTTTTATTTGAAGTAAATTAACTTACCTTAGCAATTATTTGACTTGTATTAGGATTGATGCATAGAAATTTTTGTTGCCTTGGCCAATAGATACCAAAACCATTATATTTGGATGGAATAAACGTTAGATGAGCTAAATTAATTTGATTGGAAAAAGAAAGAAAGAAAGAATCATTAATAATCAAATCACAAATTAAAGAAGAAGAAAAAGAAAATTTCTCAAGAAACAAGTCTATCAGAAAAAAAACAAAACTAAACAAATAATCCGAATTACCCTTGTTTTCTTCTCTATATGTTTCAATTCAATAAAATTATCAAGCACCTACGAAGTTTTTGTCTTTCAATTCTCACTATAATATAATGATGTCTAGCCCCTTTTTGATCCATAATAAATGAATTTTATACAAGACAGGATTAACAACAATCATCAAAAGTCAGTTACAAAACAACAACAACAAAAAAAAACGGGAAAATTAAAAACAAAACAAAAAATCTAATAATCAAAATTGTGTAAATGTTTGATGCTCCAAAATAATCATAATAAACAACAACAACAACAACAACCACTTTAGCATCCACATTCAATTTATTATTGTTTTTTTGTTGTTGTTGTTGTCTTAGTTTATATAATCATCATCATCATCGAGATGATGATCGCGAATCGCCCACATGAATTTTGCATCAGAAAAAAAATTTGATTTTCTAGAAGAAAATAAAATCCTGTTTAGCCGAAATTTTTGCCATCATAAACGACGTTTACAATTCATCTTTTTTTCTTATTGTTTTTTTTTCTTCTTCTTCTTGTCGGCCTTTTTTAATATACCTTTCATCACACAACACACAAGGGGAAAAACCATCCAAACATCATACAAACACAAACACAAACATCTATCTAATTGTCGAAAACGATTCTAATTTCTCTTTATGGAAGTTGATGATGATAATTCCTTTGCACACACACAATATGTCTATGTTCAAATACCTAGCAAACACCATCAAAAATAATAAATGTTTGGACTACAAAAATGTAGATTTCTTTCATTTTCTCCACACTTTCAAAAGATGTGAATTGATAATAAAAACAACAGAAAAAAACTGAAACTTAAATTTTCAAAAAGAAAAAAAAAACCAAATAATAAAATTCTTATGAAACAGGATTTAGAAAATAGAAATGAAAACAAAACAAAAAAAAATTGTTCAATCTTAAATCAACTCAAACCAAACCAAAAACAAACAAACAAACAAAATTTAAAATCCTGTTTACTGAATTCTTTTTGTTCTTGTTTTCATTAAACAAAAGAATAAAAACATACTTGAATCAATGAAAATATTTACATAAAATATACACTTCAAAAATCAACAGGTGTGTGTGTGTGTGCGGTAAATATTCTAACATCGGAACAAATGAACTCAGGTAGCAAGTTTTTTGCAACCGAAATTCCAATTAAATAATTTAAAAAAAACAAAAAAAAACTTACTATCAGATATAGTTGGATCAATATTCCATTGAGATAAAATCATATTCGTTTGATTAGTATATGATAAATCTCCTTTTGAACAACGATTATGCAGACGATATACTCTTGATTCCATTTCTAATGAATGTTTGAAAATATCTGTATGATTTTTATTTGAATCTTCAGATGATATGTCACTTGTTTCTTGCTTATGATGATGATCATGATGAGTAGGAAGATCATGTTGTTGTTCATGATGATGATGATGATTTTTATCATGAGAATGATGAATGACATGACGTTTATTTCTTAAATGACTAGTATCAATATTTGATAATGATGATGGTGATAATGATGATGATGATGATATCGATTCATCGTTTTCGTTATCGATTCTTGATTCCGTTGATAATGATTTTGGCAGTTTTTGTGATAAAATATTTGATAAATCATTTTCCGGATTACTACTAGAATCATCATATTCATTGTAACTTTTTGTTCTTTGATTACCTAATGATAATATCACATCATGATGATCATTGATTAATGATGATGATTTTATTGACTTTGAATTTTTTATATGATTTTTTAATGATTCTTGTTGTTGTTGATTATGATAATTATGATTTGAATGTAAATTTTTTTCTATTCTTTGTCTAACTTGATAATAAGGATATCTATTTGGCCTTGGTTGTGCTATTGGTTGATTACTGACCACATTTATTATTTGACCATCATTATCATCATCATCATCATCGACATCGGCATCATTATTATTATAATCATAATCATCATCATTCATTAGTTGATGATTATAATTTTTATCAAAATCGTGATTATTATCATCATCACCATCATCATTATGATGATGGTGATGATTTTGCCAATTTATCAGTCTATTGTGGTCAGATCTAACCAAAGCCAGCCAATTATGGCCTTGATATGTATTATTTTGTAATAATAATTTTTTTGGTTGATTATAATATTGATCTATTGTGGCCGGATTCGTCATCAAATCGATATTTAATCTAGAATTTTTTCGTATTAATAATAATTTCGTTTGTAATAACAAAAAAGTAGAAAAAAAAGATGATAATGAAGATGGTAATGATATTGATGGCGTCGATGACGATGATGTTTGTTCAATGGCGATGGTATTGGTCTACAATTCAAAACAATAAAGAAAAAGAATAAATTAATGAGAGAAAAAAATTATGATAATGGCAAATTTCAATGTAAAACAAAAACAAAAACCCTAATCCAAAACGAAAGGGAAATTAAAAAAAATTTTCCAGTTATTTTTTTTGAAAAAAATGTGATATGCATGGGTGGAGGGACAAATGTATATCATTCAAATCAAATTGAAATAGGAAAAATTTCACATTTTTTTTCATTTGAAAAAACTAGCAAAAAAATGACCTGAAACGATGAAAAACAAATTCATGATGAATTTCCAGGTGTGTGATGTTAGTTTATTTGTGTTTGTGTTTGTGTGTGTAGGCGGCGTATAGCAGTGTAACAGTTTCATCAATAACATGGGCCAATAAGAAAATAAATTTTTTAAAATTTTAAAATTGAAAAAAAAATTCCATTCATTCCAATCATATTTATGTAAATTAATTTTTTTAAAAAAGAAAATATATTGAAAGATTTATACTTACATAAACACTGAAAGGGCAATGAATGACAAAAAAGATTGCCGCGAAGATTATGATTCTAGAATTGGGAAAGAAAGAAAGAAATTGCAATTAAAATCAATTTTTTAAGATCAAATTGAAACAGGAAAAGATTTTGAAACAAGAAACATAGGAAAAAACAGGAGAAAACTTGAATTTAAGAAAATTTGAATCGATTTTCCAACAAAAATGATACTGACATAAGCAATGTCAAACAATTATTCGAATTTCCAATCAAATCGATAATTTGACTGATTGATTGATTGATTAATTGGATCGATTCAAAAAAAAATGTTTAATTTTCATCGAAAATTCATCTGAATTTAGATTCAAATACAGAAAAATAAACAATTCTATCGAAAAAAACTAGAATGATTTCCAACAAAAAAAAAGAAAAGGAAAAAAACAATGTGGGAGAAACATCCAAATGACAATCAAACAAGGCTATTATCATTATCATCAGAAAAACGACAACAAAAAAAAGACGAATAAATAATTTTCTTACAACAACAAGAAAATTGAGCTAATTTGTATAAAATGTAAATGAACAAAGCAAAAGAAGAAAAAAAAATTATTTCATATTCAACAAGTGAACAAGTGAGTATATACTGAAAAAAATATGAAATTAAAAAAAAAACAACAACAATTTGATTAAACAACAATAACAAACATATGTTCAGCTGTATATCATCATGATCCAAAAATGGTATGACCAAAAAAAAAAAATTGACCGAAATGAATTCAAGAAAAAAAAATTTTCATTGTTTTATTCATTTTATTTCTTTCAATTTCATTTCTTCTTCATTTGTTGATGATAATCATCATCATCAACCAATGTGAAAAAAAAAACATTTAAATATGGTTGACATGGACAAACATCACATGTCAATGATGATGATGGCAAAGTGGTTTGTTGTTGTACTTGAAATTTTTTATTTTTGCTAATTCTTTCTCTTCTTTTAAATTGAATTTCTTTTGAACAACCTGTTCACAATTGATTTCAATGATTACTTTTTTTTTTGTTGAAAAAAATTGGAAAAATCCTCTAGGGTTTGAATGGAAAAATACCATCAAGAAAGGAAGCGATGAAGTTACCCAAAAAATCAAATTTTTTTGCATCTTTTCGGTTCTATTGTTTTAACCATTTTGTAATCGAAATTTCATTGAAAACAAACAAACAAACACATTCCATTCTTGATTTTTCCTTTTACCTAAATACAAACTTTGCAAGTGTGTTGACACAAACAAACACACACACAGACATCCGAATGCAATATTTTCACCAGAAAAAGATTTAGGAATTTAAGTAAAAATAAAGAAAAAGAAAAAACCCGACTATCAAATACAACACCAAAATTGAATTTACATAAATAGCAATCAAAAAAAAATACAAGAAGCCTATTCAAACCACAAACAAAAAAACAACAACCAAACAAAAGAATGATATTTGATAAAAATTTCCTACTAAACACACAGAAACTTGTTGCATCGATGTGGCTTGTGGCATTCATAATCGTCGTCAATTCAAAAAGTTTTGTTTTTTTCTCACTTATGGCATTCTCCCATATTGTGATATTTGGTTGAAAACAAACAAACAAACAAACAGAAAAAACATTGTGCAAACAAAAGATGTTCGGATATTATTGCTTCCGATATTATTATTATTATTTTCCGTATACAACATAAGGAAAAATATAAAAATTGTCGAATCGGAAATCTTTCTACAACTTTCTTTTTTTTCGGGATATCATATCAATCCAAACAGAAAAAAAAATCATGACATAAAACAATAATAACATGACAACATCATTGATTGTCAATCAATTTTTTATAATTAATATATTTATCAAAAATGTACAGGTAAATCACATACATTCTTTTTGATTAAAATTTTGGTTACGATATAAATATCTTTTGTGTGATAAGATTTGATTACAATAAACTCAAATCAAATTTCGAAGGTACAAAAAAAAAGACAAAAAAAAACATTATGAATGAACAATTTTCCTCATAATCATCATCATAGAAATGAAAAATGTCATATAATAAATATTTATTAAAGCAAAAATTATCATTAGATTGATTATCCGACAACTAGTCAGATTTATTATCAATGATCATTGATGATGATGATGATTGAAAGTTATGGAGCCTTTTTTGGGACAATCAACTAAACATAAAGTCAAGATAAATGTCCTATGTATGGTGATAAATAAATTGATAAAATTCCATTTAAAAAAAAACACACAGAGAGAAAAGTAAAAGGGAGAGAGAGAAATGTCAAAATTATTCAATTCATCAAAAGAAATCAAATGTTAATGTGCTAATGGCTAAATTATTTCAATAAATTTTAATTGAAACAAAATTTAAAAAACAAAAAACAAAATTCCAATTACTTAATTGAAGCAAAGATAAAGCGAAAAAGCAAAATCAAAACATCATCTTGATTGCAATCAATCAATTTCATTTTGATTCAAAAAAAAACATGATAAATTTGAAAAAAAATAAACAAACAAACAATAAATAAATAACCTTAAATTTCAATTGAAATTTTTTTTTCTCAATTCAATTTCAACAAAATAAGGTAATCATATGTTCTGAATGTGTCATTTGATTTCATTTTTTTCCGTAAAATATTTACGATTCTTAATACCTGTGTGTGTGTGAGAGTGTGTGCGTGGTATATTTGAGTGAGTGAATGTTGAGACTTGAATGAATGAAATCAATATTTTCTATATCGGGATTATCATTAATATTTGCAAACAATCAACCAAAAGAAAGAAAAAACATCAACAACATCGACAATAAAAATGTGCAATGTTGCATCGTAATCTTGAGCAATCCATCAGGATTTTTCTTCTTTTTGTTTTTGTTTTCAATGATGATTGACGATTGAAAACAAAAATGATGAAATACCTGTAAAGATTGTTAATTTTCTTCTTTGATTTTATTGCTGCGAAAGAAAACAACATGCACAAACATAATGAAATTTTTGATGTTTTTCTTTCTTTATTGAAAAAAAACAACATAAGAAAAATTGATGCCGACATGTCGCCTAGGTGACATTTTTTTTTTGTTTCATCCCTCTCTCATTTCCCCACACTTTTTTTCTCCTTCTTCTTCTTCTTCATCATCATCATCTTCTTGTATATGTCACCCACATCATCAATAATCTCTCGCACTCAACTAAAATGTGAAAATGAAAAATACCAAATGATGATGATGATGATGATGAAAAAATAAATCTGAACTGTATAATATAATCCCACACACGCACATAAACAGATGACATATTTATTTGATTATTTATTTACTTTTTTTTTATTTTTTTCTGTTAAAATAATGGATAAAAGGTGATGATGATGATGATAAATATCATAAATACAGGATGATGATGATGATTTGGTATTAGGATTGATTGTCGGGCTATATATTATTGATAGGTTTTATTTTCGTTGTAGTAAACAAAAACTGTGTGCGTGGTGTTTGTCAATGTATTTTGATTTGTACAAGCAAAAAAAATGATGCAGAATTTCAAGAAAGAAATCAATGATCAATATTTACTGTGTGTGTGTGACAATACAGAATTGGTCACTATAATGTCAGTTTTGTTGCTTGTTCGGTTTGTAAATAAGAAAAGAATACCGCCGTGAAAAAAATTTTGAAAAGCAAAAAAATGTAAATTCAATTTTGATTAACCAAAAATTGATCGATTAGATTTTGATTGAACCAAGGGTAAACAGAATAAAAACCACACACACACACTAATGATAAACATGACCCTTTTTTCATACCAAGACAAATGTAATTCATAAAGT